GATTCCATCTCAGTGACTGCTTGCCCGTCACCCCAGCGGATGGACAGTATATTGAGCGTGCTCCCGGAATTCAGGCGCGGCATGGCACTGCCTCTTGTGCGGTATCTTCGACTCTTGGGCATGCTTACAGCTGCGTCTGCCGTAGTGCCCTTGGGGCTGCTGTCATTGCGGCCCCTCCAGATGTGGTTGAACAGCTTGAATCTGGATCCCACACGGAACACTCATCGTCTCCGAAGACTTCGGGTGGGGCCTCAGTGTCTTCAGTCGCTGTCCCAATGGAGGGTAAGGTTGTTTAAGCAAAGGGGGCCTTTTGATTTAGCCACCACAGGGGGGTTGGTGTATGACTCTGACTATGGCTTTAATCAGGTTGATTCTTCAGCAATGTTGTATTACAACATAGCAGAGTGTATACAAAGTGAAAAATTGTTTTGTACAGCTCTCAGACAGTAAATGAAGAACAGCTTAGCAGTGAAATGAAAATTTCCATTTCATTAAGTACAATTCACCCCCACTTTTTAAAATGTGCGGGCTTTATCTTCATCAGTTTATTTCAGCTTTCTCTTTTAACTTCCTTTTATTTCATTCATCTGATACTTTTTTCCCCAATATATTTTATGGAATTCTTCACTTTTAATGTACAATAAACTTATAAACAAACTTAACATTGCAGACATGAACTTCTGCACACTGGCATTCACTCACGCACTCACCATTCAAACCTGCATTTGTTCTAAAATATACAAAACTCTTTATATGATGACACAGAAAAAGTAACAAGACAATATGGAAATAAAAGCTGTATTCAAGACATCCATTTATTAAGCTCCGCCTTCAGTCTCTATGATCCTCATATATGGCTCCCAGAGGTTCTCAAAGTCTTGCTGTTTACAGTTAATCGTTCCAGTCCGAGCGAATTTGCAATTTCTTTTTTCCAGAGTCCCGGGGAGGGGGTGTCCATGCTCCTCCAGTATATGCAATAGATCTTCTGGCTTGAAGAACTCCATAATCTATCAATTTGGTTTTAGTCTGTGATTGTTTAAATTCCACTGGGTATATTCCTAGAACACAGATTTTAACCTCTAATGGCACTTTAACCTTAAACACTTCAGATAGACACCTAATAACACAGGGATTGTGTTGATATCCGCGGAATGAACCAATGTCGACAAAGAGCTTCACCACCGGTTGAAACCCGCGTCTGATCTGCACCGTCTCAGCAGATAGATCCTGTGCAAACGTGATTTTGGCCCCATCTTGTATAATATCTCTTTTCCTTGCCTCTCGGTAAACAAATTCCTTCTCCTGGAATTTTAAGAAGCGAATCAGAACCGCTCTGCCCTGGTTAGATTTCCCGGAGGCCGGTGTACGGTGTACGCGCTCCAATGTGAATGACTTGTCCGGTGCTAGCTCCAGCCACTTTGGTAGCATGTTGCTGATAAAGTCAAAAAGTGGTTGTCTTCCCTCTGCACCTTCTCGAATTCCAAAGACATGCAGGTTCTTTCTCCTTCCTCGGTTTTCCAGTTCATCTGTTTTGGCCTCAAGGAGCAGGATTCGTTTCATAGCTGAAGTCAACGTTGTTTCTGCTTTTTCAAGCGAACTTTCTACTTCGGCAATGCGAGCCTCGGCCTCCTCCACATGAGCCGCCTGGTTTAAGGCCCCGTCCACACGAAGTCAAA